AAAATGATGATGCATTTTGGCAGCCCGGAGAGTGACTTTGTTGACAAAATTGCCAAGGAGACGTTCAAGTTGCTAAACAAGTTGTCTCCATCTGAAATTCGAGGGCTTCCGGGGATNNANNNGCGTNTGACGGAACTGGAAAAGTTAATGGATTTCAAAGAGACAANATGTGTCCGAATTGTCGGGGTTCTTGGGATGGCTGGGATTGGTAAGACAACTGTTGNAGANTGTGTGTATAAGCGAAACTATGGTCGCTTTGATGGTTACTGCTTTCTTGCAAATGTTAACAATGAGTCAAAATTACATGGAGTAGATCGTTTGCAGCAGAAACTCCTCTGTAAGTTATTAGATGAAGAAAATCTTGATGTTGGAGCTCCTGAAGGAGCACATGAAGCCTTAAAGGATCGTCTTCGAAACAAGAAATTGTTTATTGTCCTCGATGATATAACTAGCGAAAATCAAATAAGACTTCTTCTTGGAGGAGAGGGACAAGAGCTATACCGAGAAGGAACTCGGATTGTTGTNACAACAAGGGACAAGAAACTGCTNGANAAGGTTGTGAATGAAACATATGTGGTTCCGAGATTGAGCGGAAGAGAATCTTTGGAGCTTTTCTGCTTGAGCGCATTTTCTAGTAATCTNNGNNCNACTGCNGAGCTCATGGANCTATCAAACAAGTTTGTNGATTATTCTAAAGGGCATCCATTTGCTTTGAAGTTGTTAGGTTCTGANCTATGTCNAAGAGATAAGTTTTATTGGGTGAAGAAATTGGAGAGATTGCAGAGAAGACCAGATGGGAAGGTTCAAGAAGTGTTGAAAATGAGTTATGAGGAGCTATGTCCGGATGAGCAGAGCATATTTCTGGATGTTGCTTGNTTCTTTAGNTCNGAAAAGCTGGATTTTGTTNCNAGGATTCTNACTACTTACNATACTGATGCTTCNAATGTGATAAATGACCTGATTGACAAGTGTTTGATAACCATTTCGGATAACCGGCTTGAGATGCATGACTTACTGCTTACAATGGGAAGGGAAATTGGTTNCGAATCATCCATCAAACAGGCAGGTAACCGCGGTCGGTTATGGGACCAAGAAGATATTTGTCGCGTCTTAAAGTATAATACGGTAAGCCAAAATGTTTCATTTGTTCTTAGGAATGTGGCTTTGTCTACTATCTTTTTTGTGTTTAACCATTTCCCATTTCCAGGGCACTGCGGAAATTAGAGGCATCTTCTTTGATATGTCTACTGTAGAAAGCATGAAGCTAAGCGCAGATATTTTCACGAGGATGTCGAGTCTCAAATTCTTGAAATTCTACAATTCTCATTGTTCCAAGTGGTGTAAGAATGATTGTAGATTCCGTTTCCCAGGTGGCCTTGATTGCTTTCCAGATGAGTTAGTGTATCTCCACTGGCAAGGGTACCCTTTAGATTATCTGCCATTGAACTTCAACCCGAAGAAACTCGTTGATCTTAATATGCGTTATAGTAACATTGTGCAACTATGGGAAGATGAGAAGGTAAAACCATAGCTGTGAAGTCTCCCATTTGATGAGATTATAGAGTTATAAAGTCGGTATGTGGTTACTAATTTTTTATCCATTTTATTGCAGAACACAGGAGAGTTAAAGTGGGTGGATCTCAGTTTTTCNAAAGACTTGCTGAATCTATCTGGCTTGTCAGAAGCTCGAAAACTCGAGAGATTGAATCTTGAATGCTGTACAAGTTTGGCCAAGTGTTCATCTATCCAGCATATGGACAGTCTCGTTTCTCTGAATCTCAGAGATTGCATAAACCTCAAGAGACTTCCAAAGAACATCAATCTGAATTCTCTGAAGATTGTTATCCTCAGTGGCTGTTCAAATCTGAAGAAATTTCCATCTATTTCAGAAAACATAGAATCTCTATATTTGGATGGCACAGCAGTAAGAAGGGTTCCTGAATCCATACAGAGTCTCCGGAAACTTGCTGTGTTAAATCTAAAGAAGTGTTGCAGGTTGATGCATCTTCCTGACACTCTTTGCAAGCTGAAATCTCTTAAAGAACTGATTCTTTCTGGCTCTTCAAAGCTAGAGAGCTTCCCGGATATCAATGAGGACATGGGAAGCTTAGAGATTCTGCTCATGGACAATACAGCCGTCAAGCAATCGCCCAGGACAATGTGTATGAGTAATCTCAAGCTGTTTTCATTTGGTGGATCTAAAGTCCAAGACACCGCAGGTTTGGAATTGCTGCCTTTCTCTGGCTGCTCTCGGTTATCAGACATGTATCTCACAGATTGCAATCTGTACAAGTTGTCGGACAACTTCAGCTGCGTATCCTCGCTTCAGTCTTTATGCTTGAGCAGAAACAACATCAAGAATTTGCCAGGAAGCATCATGAAACTTCATCACCTAAAGTCACTTTACTTGAAGCATTGCAGAAAGCTCGTTTCTCTTCCAATGCTTCCATCAAATCTGCAGTACTTGGATGCTCATGGCTGTATCTCACTCGAAACAGTGGAAAATCCCATGACGCTTCTTGTGAAAGCNGNAAGGANNCAGTCNACTTNCGTATTCACAGATTGCTTNAAGCTAAACCGAGATGCTCAAGAAAACATTGTNGCTCATGCTCAACTCAAGAGTCAAATNCTTGCAAATGTGTCTCTTCAGCGTAATCACAAGGTCCAATCTCTCTTTACTTTGCCATTAGTATTCCAGTGACATTTTGATTCACATCTCATTNTTTAAATTGGTTTTATTGTTTCAGGGACTGGTTTTAGAACCTTTAGTTGGTGTAAGTTTTCCAGGAAACGATTTACCTTTATGGTTTCGCCATCAAAGAATGGGATCGTTCATGGAAACCCACCTTCCTCCTNACTGGTGTGACGATAAATTCATCGGTCTTTCGCTCTGTGCAGTTGTTTCCTTTAAGGACTATGAAGATCATACCAGCCAGTTCTCTATAATATGCAAGTGCAAGTTCAGAAACGACGATGGTGATTGCATCACCTTCACTTGNAATATTGGAGGATGGAACGAGTCATCTGGATCATCTAGTCACGAAGAAGAACCGAGAAGACNTAGCTCTGATCATGTATTCATCAGTTATAACAACTTTTTCCACGNCAAGAANACACATGACCGCAACAGATGTTGCAACACCACTGCCTCATTCACATTCTCTGTTACCGACGGAACCAAAAGAAAGCCAAAATCATGTGANGTGGTGAAATGTGGGATGAGTTTGCTATATGCTCCAGATGAGAATGATTATAGGTTGCAAGGATTACAGGAGAATGGTAATCTCGATAAAGCGGTATATGGGAAAGAAACAGATCAAAATGAATGCGCGGCCACGGATGCAGTAATTGTTATGCCCAAGAGAAACCGTTTCTGCTT